GTGAATGCAGTACCTACTTAAAAATAAAGAAAATTTATAAAAACCAAAAGAGAAACCATATTTATCAAGATTCCGACTGCCATGACTTACTCAAAATTTTAAAAGTTGTTCTTTAAGGTGTCTATTAGTGCTGTGGTCAAATTGGTATTAAAATATTTAGTCTATTCAAGTCAAAATAGTTGAGGGGCCCAGGGAAGGGCCACAGAGAGATATGAGGGTGAACGTGAACTAGAAGATGGTAAGAATGGGAACTGGGAGGATAGGGCAGAGCAGGGCAAAGAAAATTTAATTTACTAATTGCAGAATTTGTTGTCACACTCTTAAGCAAGTGAAGAAAAAAACTCAACATTTCCTCTATATTTGTATCATGTTATACTGTGTTCTTGGGGGGGCTTTTGCTTACAGGAAATATCAAAATGTCAACCATTGTTTCTATTAAAGGTCTTTAATGATATTGCATTTTGGACCTGTAATGAAACATGCTGCTCACTGCAGTTTGTAATGCATCTCATTAAATACATTAATAACATGCATTTCGCTAAAAGGTCAACTTATTACAGCTGAAGTTTGGCTCTCCTGTAATCACTTCATCTAAAGCTACAGTGCAAACTCTGGAAAAGACAGGAGAGAGCCTGTTAACAGGAATGCTCTCTCAGTTCCCCCTCCACCCAAACCAGCTGTGCCTAAGAAATAACTGTTAGCGTTTTTGTGTGGGATAATGGTATTGCGATTTTTAAAAAAATCCTTTACTCTCAGAGATCCATGCTGAATCCCTGATAAAATGATAGGCTGTATGGTATTTGCTTCAAAATAAAGCAGAAGTAGGAGAAAAGTTGGTTTAAGCAGATGAAATAGATGGGCCATGAGTTGATAACTGCTTAACTGGTAGTGGTATATAGGTTCACAGTACATACAACACTCTCTACTTTTATATAGGTTTGATATATTCCATAATGAAAACTTTTAGATATACTCATGCTGGGGGTTTCCTTAAGTACCTTGCCTTCTTCTTTATACACTGTTGCCAGCAACATAAAGGAACCATCTCCTAATGCAACAGATAGAAGTTTCTAAAAGAAAATCTGAGAGAAAAAGCTCACCTCTTTAGAGAAATGGTTCTGTGCATGGAAAATCTCTTAATTTTGCTATGGTTACTTCATGACTTACCACTTATGCAACTACAAAAATATCCCAAAAAAACGCCTCTGAAATTATTCAACAGCAAGAGTTATAATCACTAACATGTAATACCAGCATGATGGGGGACCAAGAGCGCTGGGGAAGAAAGGAGAGATTTGCTTAGTTTCTGAAAAGTAGAGTTTAAGGTGCTTAGGGTACAAAGGCACACTGCTCAAGACTTGACTGTGGCTTAAATACAGCTGGAAGTCTGCTCTGTTTTAGAGAATGTTGTTAAGACCATGAGAGTAAATGACAGTGCCATGAAGAGAATATGTCAAGAAAACACAGCCTGAGCAGAGGATCCTAAATGCAGTGATACTGACACTGAGAGGATAAAAGAGAGGCTGAGATGAGAAGGGATCAGAAACACAGGAGAAGCCACACATCACATGTGGGAGCACCAAAACCAAAGAGAAATAATTTCAAAGAAAGGGTGAATGCTCCAGGGAGGTAGTAACTGGGCTTGGCAATAAAGAAATCTCTGATCACCTTTTCATAAGTCATAATAGGCCAAGGCTGAATTGTAAGTATCACAGTAGAATAGAATAGTACCCATTTTCAAGAACAAATGGTTCATTTAAAGTACATAAAGGGGACTTTCCTGGTGGTCCAGTGGCTAAGACTCCTCGCTCCAATGCAGGGGGCCTGGGTTCAATCCCTGATCAGGAAACTAAGATCCCACATGCTTCAACTAAGACCTGGCACAGCCAAATAAATAAAGAAAACTAGAAAAAATAAATTGTATGGGGAATTTGAATACTAGTAAAAAGTCAAAAAACACTGAAGGGACTTCCCTGGTGGTCCAGTGAATCTGCCTGGCAATGCAGGGGACATGGGTTTGATCCCTGGTCAGGGAACCAGGATCCCACATGTCACAGAGGAGCTGGGCCCACGCACTGCAACTGCTGAGCCCCCATGCCAAAAGTCGGCGCACTGCAAGGAAAGACCCTGTGCACTGCGATTAAGGCCCAGGCAACCAAACACAGTAAAACAACACTGGGACAACAGGGATGACGGTGAGTTACCCTGATGACCACTATCCAGGGGGCGGAACACTGCCAGACGGCTCCTTTCGCAGAAAAAGAGAATACGTGTACCTAACGTTCGTGGTGTGCGGTGTGCCAGGCACCGTGCTAATGCTTCACATCGATCACGTTCTTTAATCCTCACAATCATACTACCCCATCTGACTGTGAAGTTAAGTAACTTGCTCAAGGTCACTCAGCTAATCCACTGCTGAGATGGAATCTAAACCCAGGCAGTCTGACCTTACTGGGAGAGCAACCAAACTGAAGAGAGATTTAATTGAAGAAAATAAGTTCCAGTGTTTGTTTTGGGGTCAGTACAAATTCAGCGAATGTTCCACACCAGCTATATATATAGGTAAAACACACTATAAATTGTTCATCCAGAGTAACATAACCAAGAAGTTTTTCTTAAACTCTGTTTACCAAGATAGGGAAACACACAAATATTATATAATCATAAAGGTAAAAACAAAAATTAGCTACTCTTCAGATGCATAGAAATTCTGGTAATTAGAAAACTCTCCTAGATAACTAATAAGCACCTACTGTGGAACACAGGGAACTCTAATCAATACTCCATAATATATGGGAAAAGAATCTAAAAAAGAGTGGATATATGTCTATGTATAACTGATTCATTTTGCTGTAACATGAAACTGACACAACAGTGTAAATCAACTATACTCTAATAAAAGTTAAAAAAACACTCTCCACCCTCCCATCTTAGACTATGTGATTCCAAACAAACATTCCTTTCTTCTCCCTTTTCCTCTGCAACCCATTCAGTCAGGTTGAGGGATATTTGTCAAATTAACTAGAATGCACCAGTGAGGCAAAGAAGCAACTGGTTAAGTAGGAAAAGAGACATTAAAAAGACTTGAACTGTTGCAAAAATAAAAGTTACACAACAGTGAAATAGCTAAAGAAATGAAACTGCATCCAAGAGTAAGAATGTGTCCCTTAAACCAAGCACTGACTAACCCTTAAAATACCTACATTTTGAGATAAATCCCAAAATGGGGGATGGGGGGAGGGTTGGCTCAAGCCAGAAGAGTAATGAGTAACAAAATGGAAAAAGCTTCATTACGAAACATTGAAGACATTTTATCTAGAGCAGTTGAGGTCTCCTTCCAAATTTCCATATCGGAAATTAGGGCACTAGGGCATTAAAAATAGCAGAGAAATGCTCCAAAAACCTCAAAAATGCTGGAAACCATCAAGCTATCATTTATTTGAGGGAGGAGGGGAGGAAGAGTTGGGAAGCCGCTTACAAAAGACCCACCCTCACAGTATCTGCAGGTTCCTGACTTCAAGTGTGGCAGGACACACAATCTAAAGACTGGCCACTTAGAAGTCATTCCCCACTAAACAAGATAGTCCCCTCCGAGAAAGATTCACAGGACTCCCTACCCTAGAAATCCTACACTTTTATCTGGAACGGTTTAAAGTGATTCTACCAAGAGGCAGACACTAAATCAGATGTCCTCCTCAGGAACCTTCTCATTCAAACTCCTTGATATTATAAAAACAAGCTTGAAAGAGCAAATGACAACAGTAAGCCTCAAGACTTCCCTGGTGGCCCTGTGGCTCAGACCCTGTACTCCCAATGCAGGGGGCCCAGGTTCAATCCCTGGTCAGGGAACTAGATTTCACATGCCACAACTAATAGTTCGCATGCCCCAAGTAAAGATCTTACATGCCACTACCAAAAATCCTGCATGCCACAACTAAGACCCAGCACAGCCAAATAAATCAATATTTTAAAGAAAAAAAAAACCCACTAAGTCTCAGCCTGCAAACAAGGGATGGCAACCCCAGCACCCCGCCCCTCCCTCAGCCCCAGTCCTCAGTGCCGCTGGGCACACAGGCACAGAGCAGGCGGCTCCTAGATCCGAAGGCAGAAGGGCAGGAGGAGTCTGTCTCTGCTAGGCGGGATCCAGCTATGTAACTATGGGTGACTCTCTCTGAGCTTTGGTTCTCTCATCTGGAAAATAATTACTAAATTCCTTTTCTTTCCTAAAACTCTGGGACTTCACAGACCAGCAGTTCTCCTTCATAACATTTTCCTCCTCCTGCGGTCCTCACCTTCTCCTCACTCTATGCAACTCAGAGGAAGACAGAAGTAAGGTCATCTCTGTATGTTGTTCTAGAAACTGCCCAACAAAGCAAGGCATCCTTTAAGCACATGATATACAACTTAAACCAACTGAGTTTAGTCATTTACTGTCTCCCTTTCATTTTATACCAGCGGGTTCTCTCTGAGCATTAAAAGAGTAACTCAGGGACTTCCCTCAAGGTTTGGTGGCTAAGACTCCGTACTCCCAGTGCAGGGTCCCCAGGTCCGAGCCCTGGTCAGGGAACTGGATCCCACAGGCTGCAGCCAAGAGTTCTCACGCCACTACTAAAGAACCCAGCATGGTGCAACAAAGATCAAAGATCCTGCATGTCCCAACTAAGACCCAGCACGGTCAAATAAATAAATATTTAGAAAAACAAAAAACCTAAAGATTTTAAAATAAAATTTTTAAAAAGTAACTCAAAACCAAGGGGAGGGGGAGGGCATGTGAGATCAGGGGTAGAAATAAGAATAGATAGAACTCCATCTGTCTTGATCAAAGTTGCCTTAATTTGACAAAAGGGTTATACTGCCATCTTTTTAAGTTAAAAATGACTATCTTCTATCATCACTAAAGCCAAGTCTTCTCAGCTCCGTGGTGCTGTGAATACAATCCCAGTAGATCCCAATGAACCCCCGGGGTTCTGAGCATCCCAGTGCAGTGTGAGTACTCTTACTGTTTTTCAGGGCGCTGGCAAATTCTGGGCCACCTTTGTCCTTGAAGACAGGGAAAACATCTGGTTGAGGAAGCTGATTGGTGGTCAGCAGAGCCTTTTGTAACTTTATCCTTCCTTCCAAGAGCTGGTCCCACAGTGCTGAGACAGAAAATAGAATTGCATTTCTCAGTTATAAAATCTCCCTGAGGTGAGGAGTAGGGGAGGGGCCGGAAATCAAAACAGCCTCTAAGCAGCACAGCTTTACCACAGTGTCATGCCATGGGACGCTCTATTTATTACAGGAAATAAATCCAATATCTGGACGCAAGAGATATCTGGATAAATCCAGTATCTTGACTTGCTACATGAGAGAAAGGATGCTACAACCCAACAAGAGAAGATGCTCTCCTCCTCAACCTTCCTCAGCTGCCCGAAGTACTAGGGCAGAGCCAGTGAAGCAGGTGAGGGTAGCAGGGGTGGGCCAAGCACAGGGGAATGGTGCTGTAGGCCTCTAGGTAAGTGGGGCACGTCACCAATGAACTGGCAGGACACAAGACACAGGAGAGAGCAAGGGCTTCCCTAGCGGCGCAGACGGTAAAGAATCTGCCTGCAGAGCAGGAGACGTGGGTTGGATCCCTGGGTCGGGAAGATCCCCTGGAGAAGGAAACAGCTACCCACTCCAGTATTCTTGCCTGGAGAATCCCATGGACAGAGGGGCCTGGTGGGCTATGGTCAACAGGGTCGCAAAGAGTTGGACACGACTGAGTGACTTACACACACACACACACACATACACGGGAGACAGCAAACTGCCTAAAACAGACAAACAAAATGGAGAGCAAATGCAGACACTCTGAAAAATAAGCAAACAGCATACATACAAACCTATCTGATTCTTCACAGCTCGGCCTTTCTCCACCTCCTCAGAAACTTTGGCCTCAGAGAAGGTCATTACCACCCCGTCGTCCTCACTGGCCCTGTCTTCGGCCTTGTCTTCCTCACTCACATCTTCAAAGTCTTCCTCACCTTCCCCTTCTTCCAAACCACTCTCCTCCTCATCGTCCTCTTCCTCCTCACTGCTACCAAGGTCGTCCATCCCCTCAGTAAATTTTTCAAAGTCACTGATGCTCTGGACACTGAAGCCCGACGATGTCCGTGAGTGGCTCCCACTTCTCTTCTTCCAGGTCAGGCTGCTGTCCCCCTCGTCCCCACCCTCCTGATCCTCAGCACTCATGGCTTCCTCATCAGACTCCTCCAGGCCCAGGTCCTCTGAATCTCCATCTGCAGACCCGTCCTCATCAGATATTTCTTTATCTAAACAAGGGAGAAAAAAGGAAAAACTTGAAATAAATACTTGGCCATCTCTTTCAATTCACCTAAAGGATTATGGCACCTGTCCAAAAAAAAAACAAGTATTATCGTACTCAATGCAACTCAATAGCACAATCCCTATCACACTAGTGATGCTTATTATTAAATACTTATTAAGCATCTATTATGAACCAGCCTTGGATAAAAACTAGAGACTGACAAATAGAATGTAGTATCTGTGGGGAGGGGTTCACAGTCTGCTAGGAGTGGTAGATACACACAACCAACAACCACACTGCAGGGTCGTTAGTACAGTGAGAGATGGCTTCAGGTGAAAGATACGTTATAGCTTTACTTATTAAGCATAAATAGCAGCTCATCAGACAGAGAAAAGGGAAGGAAAGGAAAAGCAGCAGAGACAAAGGTCCAGCACACAAAAGTGTACTGAGGGAATTTCACGGGGATCCACTGCTTGCAAGTCTGCCTGCCAATGCAGGGGACAAGCGTTCAATCCCTGGTTCAGAAGATTCCACATGCTGTTTGGTGCAAGAGGGCAACTAAGCCTGTGTGCCACAACTACTGAAGCCCGTGCACTGGAGAGCTTGCTCTGCAACTAGAGATGCCACCACAATGAGAAGTCCATGCACAGCAACTAAAGAAAGCCTACATGAAGCAGCATGGACCCAGCACAGCCAAAAATAAATAAATTAAAAAAAAAAAAATACACCGAGGTGCAAAATGCTGGGTTATGAGCCCAGAGAGTTATTCAAGGTTTTGTTTTTTTTTTTTTTTTAATTTTAGGCCATGCCATGCAGCATGCAGGGCTTCACAGGTAGTGTTAGTGGTAAAGAACCTGCCAGCCAAATGCAGGAGAGGTAAAAGACGTGGGTATGATCCCTGGGTTGGGAAGATCCCCTGGAGGAGGGCATGGCAACCCACTTCAGTATTCTTGACTGGAGAATCCCACGGGCAGAGAAAGCTACAGTCTATAGAGTCGCACAGAATCACACACAACTAAAGCAACTTAGCACAAACGCATGCAGTATGCTAGTTCCCTGACCAGAGATCCAACCCGTGCCCCCTGCAACAGCAGTGCAAAGTCTTAACCACTGGACCTCCAGAGAAGTCCCACCAGGAGGGGTTTTGTCTTCCATGGGAAGGTGTCTAAACCTGATCCTTCAGTAAACAGAATGTTAGTTATGGCTTCTGATTTTACTTATAGAAAAATCTGAATTATATTATAGAAATTATAGAAAAAATTACTTTTACTTCTGATACTTACAGGTCTTTATGTGTCATCATTGATCATACAATCTCTTCCAGTGCAGGACACAAAGGTCCCACATATGGGAAGCATAACTGCACAGGGGCCTGTTACCAACAACTTTCTTCATAAAACAAAGATTTTATGAAAACATAATAGGTCTTAAGTATTTCTTTAAGTGAATATCAGATATACTTTAATATATAGACTCAAGATACAGAAGACTGTCAAAACTATACAGTTCCAAACAATAAAGAGAAATAATTCTTTAAGTTCTTTACATGTATGATAGTAGTTTAAAGTATAGAACTTAAGAGTCAGACTGTCTTATTTGAGTTCTGGGCTGCACTTACTAGATATACAACCTTGCGCAAGTTACATAACAAATACGCCCCTCAACTTCCTTATCTGCAAAATGGGGATAAACAGTAGCAACCTCACAGGGCTGCTGGGAAGATTAAACAAGATGATCGTGTACCCAGAACTGTTTCAAGGCCTAAATCAGGGATATCAGAGCATGACTGATTATTTCTTTCACATTATCTGTGGGTTCTCAACATGGCCCCTCTGACTTCTCTACAGGAAAACAAATAGCATCCACTCACGAATCACCACATCCAGCCCCCTTCTTCCACTCAGAGAAACTCACAATCTTTAAAACTATAAGCCCACATCCTCCTAAATCTTGCAGGGAACATGGAAGGGTTATGAAAATTTTACAATGGCAAAGAAATGAGCGTCACAAATTAATATTATCCAGTGACCCAATGCAAGACTTGACAAACCAAAGGAAAATCTATGAGTAGCATGCTTATCAGACACAATGCTTTTTCCAAGACATCTATGTGTGCACGTGTGCTAAGTTGCTTTAGTCATGTCCGACTCTGTGTGACTCCATGGACTACACACAGCCTGTCAGCCTCCTCATTCCACTGGATTCTCCAGGCAAGAATACTAGAGTGGGTTGTCATGCCCTTCTCCAGGGATCTTCCTGATCCAGGAATCAAACCCACACCTCTTACGTCTCCTGCATTGGCAGGCAGATTCTTTACTACTAGCGCCACCTGGGAAGTCCAACACATAGCCCTCTCCAAAATCTGAATCTAGAAGGCCTTCTCTTGTCATTCCATTTCAGGGTGAACCATTAGTGTAAACATTAGGAATAGAGCAACTTAATAGCTCTAGGCTTTAGATTCCTTACAAAGTGAAATTAAGTACTTCAGAGGGCCATTTCTAATGCCAAATCAATGACAGTAAGTGGGGCGTCCAGACTGGCTGTGCAGAGATCACCAAAAAAAAAAGATTTTAATCCCCCAAAATTAGGAAAGACATGCAAATAGGTCTACTTACCAGATGAGCCTGACAGAGGCTGCTCCCATTGGTCTTCCTTCCAAGCTTTTCTAGACGTGGTCTTGCCAGAATATCTCTTGTCTGTGTCCAAGAGGGAGGCTGATGCCAGCTTTCGAATGCTACCCACCGCCTGATAATCACCTTCCCCATCTTCCCCTTCATCAAACCTGTCAATCACTTTGGCAGCAGTGGCTGTCGGGGGAGGGGAAAAAGTAATCAGAACCTCCTGGTTAGAACCAACTTTAAGGGCAACCCTGTTCAACCCTTTAAATTCATGCTTGAACGTCCTCTGCAAAATCCCCACCAACTTCTGAGAACAGGGACCTCACTATCTCCAGACCACTCACTACCTTGCTGCTGTTCCTGAACAGAAAGCTGACTCTCTGCATCTACTAGAAAGATGTATTTCCAGGCCTTGAAACATAGAAAACAGTCTAAATTCCTCCTACACAAGCGACAGTCACTCAGATATTTCGTCAGCCATCATCATGTTGTATCCTGCTCCAGCCCATCCCTCGGGAGTTTTCTTTGCTTATCCAGGCTAAACAACCTCAGTTCCTTCAACTGATTATTCCTAAGAAACGGTCCAGCACTCACATTTATCCCTCTGTATTCTCCCTTCCTCACACTTCTCGGACTCAAGCCTAAAGCAGGATTACTCTCAACTAGACGTTGAACAGCAGCTTACAGAAAGGCAGCCTTATTCGTCAACCACTAAGCAAGCGTGTTGAGGCCTGAAAAGGCTTAAGGGGCACCACGAACGCCTACTTCTTCCTTCAATCCTCCAAGTAAGTTATCAGAGGTTGGCAGTTTGTTTTTTTTTCAAAGAATTAAACTTCCTTCTCCTCATTTCTAATGCGATGCCAGTAAGGGCATCCCGAAAGATGACTACCAATCCGAGGCCAACCTGGCTGTCCGCCACAGCCCTGGATCAAGTTAACCCAAATCTGTGCTCCGGGAGCCCCGCCCACCCGAGCACCAAGTCCAGAAAGCAAGTCAGGAGAATCCCGACGCTCTCCTCCCTGAGTACCGGTGGGCCCGCTTCCCGGGAAGGAGTTTTCCTCCGCGCAGGGGGAAAAGAGGGTAGGCTGGGCGGCAAGGCCCCGCTGCCGGCCCCTCACGCGCCGCCCAAGTCCTCCCGGGGCCGGGCCCGCCGCTCCGCACGTGGCCTTGCCCCCGTCAGGCCTCACCCTCCTCCGGCTCGGCCTCAGGATCCGCTTCGCGCGGTCGCGGGTTCAACAACTGCTCCAGCTGCAGCGCCAGAGACTGCGGTCCCGCCATGGTCACCAAGGCCTCGCCCGGCGCCGCGCTCGTGAACGTTGCTCTCCCCCTGCCAAGTCCTCTCTCCTGAGAGACGGATCCCCGCGCACCGTCAGGGAAGCGCCGAGTGGCGCGCCCGGTTTCGGGTCGCCAACTTCCGGGAGGCTCCCGGGAGGGGGCGGGGCTTGCGTCACTACGGGCGTTGCTAGGACGGAGGCGCACGCGCCCGGAAGGCTGACGCGCGTGCGTGTGCGTGTGCGCCTGCGCCGAGGGGCGGGGGGGAGGGGAGGGGTTGGGCCGCGCGGGAGCGCGCAAGGGCACGTGGCTGCCGCTGGCCCAGAGCCGAGACTGTGAAGCGCGGCTCGCGTCCTCTTGCGTAAAGTATGCCTCGAGGTTTGTCCGAGATTTACTTGGGAATAAAGTGTAGTGTAGCCATGACCTGCGGTGACTGATTTGGAAAACAGAAGGAGTAAAGGGTAAGCGTCTCGAGCCTCACGTGTACTTTAGGGCAAGCACAGACTGGGATCCAGAGCAGGTTTGGCATTTCACAATTTGGAGGAGTCTGGGGCTCGGCACACGCCTCTGGCCCAGCGGTAGTCCTGATTTGGAAATCCTACGTAAGGGATGGGCAGGTGTTAAGTGTGCGGTGGACTGCTGGCATCTTTATTAATAGGAATAATTATTACAGAAAGTGCTATGGCTGTGCATAAATAAAGATCGATTCTATAACAAGTAGCCTTGTCTGTGCAGGGAAAAGGGGGCGGCGTGAGGATTGCTCTACTGCACACCCATCAGGATTGATAACCTTGCTATTCAAAGATAAGGGCATACACTTGAAACTGGTGCACAAATGGGGAAAAACTCAAGTCAACAGTTAGAGGGGCAGAGATGGACTCAAAATATAAAGACCAATAGGATCAATTTAACTGCACCCAGGTACATAGAAAAATACAGTCCGTTATATGCACTTTCCTTCATCATGCATTCCCTGACTGCCCGCTATGTGGCAGGCACTGCTAAATGAGATACAAAGATAGTAAGTTAGATTCTCCCCTGGTGGTGATCAGCGGAGGAGGGCAAACAAACATGTAAACAGAAGCTGCCAAAAGGGATCATCAGGGAAGAACAAAGTGGTCTCTCCTTATAGTGTCTGTTTGAGGTCACCTGTAAAGACCTTGAAGCTCCTAAACAGAAACTGCCTCAAATGGATCCAGAAAACAGGGTTTGGGGTGGCCTCCTGCCCTTCCTGGAAGCAGCCCAGGCCATTTGGATCCCACAGCTGAACAGCTTGGGGAGCCCCCAATTCTCCAGTGTCTTCCATGTAACCCAAGGGAAGTGTGGGTCCCTAACTTCCCTGGTCTTCATATGCCACCATCGTCAAGAGCAATGAAAGGCCACTTGTCCCATGTCCGCTGCTTCCTAGGTGGCTGTGGCGGGGAAGGACAGCCCTCAGGGTAGACATTCACAGACTCTGAAGAGAAGGAACTCCAGGCTAGGATGGGAGCACATTAGGCAAGGCACTGAGGCAAGGAGAACTGCTTTTTATCACCTGCAATAGAATTCAGTCTAGAAAACAGCTTTAAAGCAAAAATACAAATAACATATCCCCTTTAATTGCAGTCTGGCGCCTGCATCTGGGGCCTCCAGAGCAAACGCATACTCAGTGGGCTGGGCCAACCATCGCCCTGGGCTTTGAAGGACAAAAATGTTTCCCTCACCCCACATTTAGGAAACTATTTCCCCCAGTCCTCTTCCCTTCCTATTCGGGACACTGATAAAGCTCATAAACTTGGTCTTGGGGTTAAAAAAAAAAAAAGGGTGAGGAAGAGAAAGGGAGGAGGGAGGAGGTGAATCAAGGCAGAGACCACGTCTAAGCTGTCATGCAAACAGGACACTGCTGGATAATTCTGGGCAGAAAACGTCTGCTCTCCCACTCTTTGGTTACTGGCCAGGTGCCCACTGACTTGGGAAGCCATTTGAGGAAGAAATCAAGACCACCCTACTCCTGTTACACATACCTCAGGGCCCCCAAAATGCTTCCCCTGCCATCCTACCCCCATCCTGAGGATAGGGAGGGGACTCCAGGAGTGGAGGAAAGAAGTCCTAAGACTTGAGATGCCGCTGAGAGATGGAGATGCACAAGGCAGCAACCTTCTAAAAGTCCCGAGGAGGGGTTTCCTGACGGGGGTGGGAGTGGAGACGGAAGATGGACTATGGGAGGGGCTATTTTTAAAGACTCTACCTCTTGGAAGAAATGTAAACCCTGGCTAGTAAATGTAAACCCTAGTGATGTGAGTAAAAGAGATGAGGACAGGCAAGGGAATAAATGAGGGCATGCTCCCAAAAGAACAGTCCTGTCTAGAGAAGAAGGTCAAAGGGTCTCCCAGTTCACGGCTCCTCTGCCTACTGCCTCAGAGCGGCAAAGTGGCAGACAGACGTAGGGAAAGCAGACGATAGGCAAGGGTGACATTGGATATCACCCCTACCCCATTGTCCCAATCAGCTGTCTCTTCCAGGAGCTCAAGAGTTTAGGGAAACCACGTGCTTACCCTTCTCTCTTCTCAGATACTCTCAAGGGCCCCAGGCCCCTGCCAGTGCCTGTCTAATATTTCTCCCCTACCTCGTCTCATCCCAAAGCAGTTCTCACTTGCCTCCATTCTGGAAAAGAGAGGTGGGTGAGCTTTGCCTCCTTCGCCCAGGGCAGGCTGGAACCCTGAGGGCAGGTGGCCAGAGGTGGCAGCTCTAAGATGGCCGCGGGGAGAAACCAGGCTGCCAAGCCCAGGAAGAAGAGACTGCGCCATCAGCTCTCAGGGCAGAAGGAGACCGCCCGGCGCTCCCCTCCTGCCTTTAAGGCATCTCCCGGGAGCTCCTAACGGCGCTGGGGATGGTGCTGGGCTCCTCTGCACCTCAGAGCCAGAGGTGGGGGGCACAGCTCTGATGGGCAAGATAACAATCCTTGATATTCCTAGACCTCCTCCTCTCACGCGGCTCCAAATTTGACTGCTAAACTTTGCCACCTGTCCAGGGTCTCCTTTAAGGGTTCTGGATACAGCACCCAGTGGGAAAGACTAAACTGCTGCTGGGATCCACGGAGTCATAGAGAGAATTGAGTCCACACAGAGCACCAACTCTAAAATGCTTCTTATCAAGTACCGGATTCCACAATGAAACTGCTAAATAATTCAGCAGGCTTGATAGGAAAATGCAGCTTCCCAATGAGCATACGTTCAGTTAAATGAATGTCTTTAAAGGAGGCTGGCTATAATGAATAAGTTGGCTATGATTTAATGTATATAAATGCTAAAAGGGCAAAAACAAGGCGATCCAGTGATTGCATACAAAGTAGATAAAGAAATGTGCTGCATGCAGAGACTAGGAGTTTCAAAAGTCTTCCCAGTATTTCATAAATTTGGATTTCTGAAAGAACACTGTCAGATTCCACCCCGATAGTCCTCCTCCTTGGATAAGCTGTCATGTGGATGCAGTGAAATATGGCTTATTTTAAAGCCTTCTTAGCAAGAAAGATACACTTGGTTGTATCTTAACAAAATATGAAAACACTGGAAATTGCACACCATTTCAAGTAAAACCTTTGTTTTTTTTTTTCTTTTTAATAAGGAAATAAAGAATCCAGACTAAAATCTAGGTGATAATGGAAAAGAAATTCTGGAACTCTAAGTAGTGTCTGATAGTAAAACACACACATGTATTTCACAGCAGATAAAATATTTAAATTCCTTCCATGTTTAATGAGGGCTTGGAAGAGGTTGAACTACTTTTCAGAACCTATTGGCAACTCTCCGTTGAAATTTGATTTCTGTATTGGTTTTTTTTGCTCATCTTTCAGAGAAAGTAATATGTATCTTGTGCCAAGCAAAACAGTTTTCCTTCTGGGGAACTTCAAATGAAACAAATACTATAAAACAACTGTTTCATATCAGTTCTGTGAAAGGGATTAAAGTATTTCATTTCTAGCTGTGCTGTGCCTTCATTTTATGTTATCTTTCAAACCACCAAATTAGAAAGCAGGATTATCTATGGGAAATGAAACAGAAAAGTACCACCTCTAACCACCTATTTAAAGGTAACTGACATTCACAAGTCAGGTTTTGCCTGTTTAGAGGGGAAAAGGAGAGAGTGTATGGGGTCTCATGCTTAATCACAGACTGAGACCACTCATTTTTAGCCATGGATTTGATTTCTATTTCCAATTCTATATTAACTTATCAACAGACATATCTTCAACTTTATCCATTAAAATTCACAGAATGCAAATCTGTAGTTAATAACAGAAGGAAGGCACAGAGAAAAGCTTGGCTGGCATTAGCGAGGGGGTTCAACCACAGTCAAGGTAAAAACAGATCCCCCCGCCCTGGTCCTGTCTCTCTTTCTCCTGGTTTCTGAGGGATCATTCCACTCCCCATCACAGATCAATTCTATTTTATGTCAAAACATAAAATAACACACCGATTATCTAAACATCAGATTTTCTATTTTTATTAAAAACTCACAAATTTATTCAACATGTTTCCTTTCATACAGTGAATGGTCTAATATGCACTGGAGGTCACACAAGCTTAGGTTTATCAGAACAATAAAAGACATATGAGAAATTTAATTTATAAAGAAAAAAAGTAGCAGCTGTTGACTGCATATTTGACCATAAAATTTAAATATTCTGGACTTTTATTTTAAAGACACAAAAATAAAACCTGTGTGGGTCTATATAAGTCATATTAACAATTCCATGAATGTTCAACAGGACTAAAAATTAGCAAAGATGTTTTTTTTTTAAACCTTGTAACACTTTTTTTTTAACACTTTCTCAGGTTGTGGTGCCAGGCACCTTTACAGTATTTGTGCTATAATTATTCTATTTGGCAAGTGTCTGAATATCATGTTTTCTCTTTGCCTTGTGTAAACAACACCTTTTTACATACTAGCACAGTGAGCTGTGAGCCCTGCAAATCAGAACATCTACAGGAAAAGAAAATGAACAATTTTGGTTGATTGCTCAAAACATTTTGTTTTGAACAAGAGGTTTCAAAACAGAATATATTAGTAAAACACTGAACTCCTGAATTTAACATTATACGTAAACAGTTGACTGTTTTTAGTTCAATAGTCTTTTCTTTTTTTAATTTTGTGTGTGTGTTTGTAAAGGTAGAATACTTCTCTTGTACAGCTGATGTTCAAGTCATATTACTAAGAGGTCTGGCTGGAGACCATCCTATCGAGTGTGTCTGCATGTATCTGTGTGTGTAGAGCTTTGTGAAGGTAGAAGAGTTGATACTGAGGGCTTTACATTTAGAATTTTGCAATTTTGGCAAAAACAAAAAAACCAAAAATCCCAGATAGACAAAAAATATATATATATAGTCCCACCTGATGCACAGCAGGTCGGCGTTTCTGAAGCTATAAGAGTTTGTGGTCGCTGTTGCTGAACTCTGAGACAACTCTAATAGATGTCTCAGAGCCTGAGACGTCTCGTGGCCGGCCCGGAGCGCCCCCGGCCGCTTCGCCCAGCTCAACTGGCTTCGGGCGCAGCCTCCCTCCCCGCGGCTCCCAGCGTCACCTCCTTGGCTGGCCGCCCCCGCGGCTGCCGTGGGTGTCTTTCCGCGGCCCACCGACCCCGAGCTCACGCCGGAGGCGTCGGTCCGAGGATCCCGGTCCAGTGGGAGGTGGGGAGAGGTCTGGATTCCCGCGGGTGCCCGAGTTCTGCACCTTGCCAGCCAGCGCTCGGATCCCGGTCCTACCTCCAGGCGGATCCGGATCCTATTTCGCGTCCCCCGTTCCCATCCGGTCTCCCCAGACGGAAAATGGTCCCCGAGGCTGGAGGCAGGAGGGGCGGGGGGTGACTTGCTTTTCTGTTTTGTGTGTGATTTTTTTTTGTGTTTTTTTTTTTCCTGTTTTTCTTAAATAGAAGGTTCATTTCTGTACAGCCGCGAGCTCCGCGGGCCGTGCGCGACTCCGCTACCACACGGCCGCCTCGTTCATTTCTGGGGGGTGAGACAGGTGGTTCCCATAGCTCGCCCCGCCGTTGACCGACAGCGACGAGAAGGGTGGGCTGGGCCCGAAGACCTCGGCCGACATGGAGTGGAGAGGACCGGGCAGGCTGGGCTCGGGGCTGGGCGAGTCCCCGGGAGGATGCGCCAGGATGTCGGTGAACCGCTGCGCCTCACTCGACGGGTGGTGGCCGGGCAGCGGGTGCTCCAGGCCACCCAGGGGTGTCCCGGAAGGCCCGGACGACGGTACAAAGGGCAGGTCCACCGGCGTCTGAGCCTGCGAGGACGGGGGGCCTTGCGGAAAGAAGTCGTAGTTGCCTCCGGGCCCGTAGTAGTCGCTCTGGTAATCTGCGGTGGCGGCGGGGAGAGGGGACGTCAGGGCGGGGTCCCGGGTGAGGCGGGGGTGACCGGGCGGGAAGGCGCGCTAGCGGATCTGGGGAGGGCAACGCCGGGGCTCTCCATTCGCCGGGCTCCCGTGCCCGGCTGGGCGCACGGAGGCGGCCAGGGTGCAAACGCGGGAGCTGCTCTCTGCCCACCGGCCTCATTCAGGGCCGGGAATGCGATCAGGTCTCACTGCCTCCCCTCATTTCCTCCCCAGCCTCCACCCCTCTCTCCCGCCCTCTCCGCTTCTCCTGCAGAAAGCCAGGAGCGCCTCCGCACTGCCGCCCGCTTCCAACGAAACGAAACCCGGCCTGCCCGCGCCCTGCCCCCGGGCCGCGCACCCACCTCCGTAGAAGGAGAAGGGCCCGTTGGGAAGGAGCTCGCCCGGCTCCAAACGGTCCACGAGCGGCCGCATCCGGCGCGGACTGCGGAAGAAGGCGTGGCGCCGGGCGCCCAGCGCGCTCAGCTGCTTCATCCTCCGTTCCTTGGAGCGTCGGTTCTGGAACCAGACCTGAAGCACGGACGCCTTGGGGTGAGGCCCCGGAGACCCCACCTCCGACTTTTCGGGTGTGCGGCCGCTCCTGGCCCCTCACCCTTCCACCTCCCAGCTCGCGGATTCCCAGCTGTATTTGCTTTGTGTCTTGTATATGGGGGGGGGGGGGGNGGTGGTGGTCTTCGAGTAGAACCGCGCGGGGTGGCCCTTGAGCCAAGGGTGGACAGGATTCCCGGCAGGGGCACCTGGGCAAGCCGCCCTGCCCAACAGGAGACAGTTGGAGTTGTTTCTAACAATCGCAGCGAAACAGTTAGCTTGTACGCGCGGAGGCGCTTCACCTCCCCAGAGTGTCAGACACACGGCTTCCCTTTCACGGACCCTGGCAGAACCCCCACCCCCACCCCGCGTGATAGTGACAGAGATCCAAACAGCCTCCTGTTTTGACACTCAGTCTCCCGAAGACAGTGACACCAAAACCCACAGCCTCCTTTCCGCACCCACGCATGATCTCCCAGTGCCAAACATATTCGTCCATAGCCTCTCGCTGTTAGAGACACGGCCAAGCAACCTCCCCTTCACCTGCGCACAAGAGCGCACAGCCTCTCGGAAGCAGAGCGTCTCCGCTGACGGCAACCTGCCTTAGTGCGCCTACTGCACAAACCTCCTAGGCTGGCCTCGCAGAGCCGCCCGGCACCGGACACCTAACCTTGGGCTCGGGACTCGGGCCGAACCACACGCGGGTTCAAAACCTCACAGCGCGCACCGGCGCAGCTGCCTGGATGGACGCCTCCGATCCCCAGGCGACTCAGGAAGGGCCGCGGAGAGCTGACTCCCGCTGCGACCACCTTCCTTTCAAACCTGGACGGCCCACCTCTCTTTGGAGGGGAGGTCTGCTGGCGGGGCGGTGGGGGCTGATTTAACTGGAGCCAGAGACCCACAAAGTTGGGGGCGGAGACACCGAGGGAGACCACGGATTAATCCCGGGAAGCACAGCGACCGCTCGGCTCCTCCCGGATAGGGGTGGTAGGGCAGAAAAATAGGTCGGTACTCTCATCACCGCGTCCTGACGGTGCCCCCTCCTCCCGTCCCATGCCCCCCCTCCGCCCCCCGTCTCTCTCCCATCGTTACCACTGTCACCTGCGTTGGACCGGAAAGAGGAGGCCAGATGCCCAGTCGCATCTGGTGCGACTTCAGAGTCGGAGCCGGGTAGGGGTGTGTCTGGGCCTCTCCCCTCCTCTCTGCCAGCCTCCAGGGACTCGCTCTGCTCCTCAAAACTGCTCCTCACCCCCCACCCCAGGCTCAACCTGCAGGTTGCACCTCGAGGGAACTAAGTGGCATGCTCAGGCCCTGACCTGGATGACACGCATGTTGAGGCCGGTCTCCTGAGCCAGCTGCTCGCGGATGTGGCGCGTGGGCTTGGGTGTGGCGGCGAAGGCGGCCTTCAGCGTCTCCAGCTGCTTGGCCTTGATGGTGGTGCGAGGCCCTCTCCGCTTGGCCCCCAGGTTCTGGTCGTCGTTCTCATTGCTGCCCCCTTCCTTGTCCGACACATTGGCGCTCTCCGAGTCCTTGGCGTCGTCCTGCGACGGGTCTTGGGAGTCCGGGGACAAACTGGGGTCACTGCCCGTGGTGGCTGGGGAGAGGGAAGGGACAGGTGAGCAGCAGCCAGTGACAGGCCTTCCTCCCCCAAGACCCACGCGCCCGGAAGGAGCCGGGCATCAGGGCCTCACCCGAGTGGAGGCTGTTCTCTTTGGCGACACTGCTGTTGCTTAGGTAATCCTCTTTGCAGACAAACTTGTTCTCATCGATGATGTAGAGCTCCTCGCCGGTGGATAGCTGCTTGTTACACATCATGCAGGTGAAGCAGTTCAGGTGGAACACTTTGCTCCGCGCTCTTCGCACCAGGTCGCTTGGGGAGATGCCCTGCGCGCAGCCAGCGCACTTGGTACCGAAACACCTGCGGGGTGGGGGGCGGTCGGGTGGGAGAGGGCCGAGGGAAGCCAAAGGGCAGGAGAAGGGCGATAGAGAGAGTAGAGGAAGAATAGTTGGGGGGGGGGTGAGAAAGAGAGAGCCAAAAAGGAAGAGAGGCAGAATGCCGATTAAGCAGGCCAGAAAGCAGGAGGAGAGAGCGCGGGCACCAGTGAAAAGTCAGGGAGGAGATACACATGGTTACAAGGAGAGAGCAAGGAGCTTAAGCCGCCGCCACCCCTAGCCTCCTGCCCCGTGTTGTCCCAGAGGGAAAAAGCACCGAGGGAGGCAGGCAGGCACCTATTTTCCGATTAGATTCAGAAAACCAAATTAGATCTCCATCCTAACTCGGCCCAAGCACCGCCGCTTTCTATGCATTGCCTCTTTCATCGAAAAAGAACCCGCGTACAGGCTGGGGGCTGGCAAGGACCAGTCCCACCGCGGGTAAACAAACAGAGCGGAGAGCCTGGACGGCCACAGCCCGGGCACTGCCACATTCCAGCCCAAAGCCCGGCTGGTCGGTGCAAGCTAGACCGCGTCGCAGCTCTAGCTGCCGGGATGCGCTTCGCAGAAGCCAGGCTTCTGGGGCCCGCTGGCAGCCGGCAGCACTCGCCATTGCCCCGCTTGGCTCTCGCCAGTAGCCAGAGGCCAGGCACCGCGGGCCAAGGCCCAGAGGTCCAGCCTGCGCTTCCCCTCGGCAATACCAGCCCACTGAGCTTTGCTCCATGGTCCGCGGCCACCAGGGCCATGCTTCCGGGATGCACCAGGGACAACGCGTCCTGGGCCCCTGGGCAAAGCCACCTGGGCGGCTTCGAACCCCTACTCTGTCCCCCAGTTCGATCTGTCACCACAAACTCAGGAAAGCAAAGACTAAGTCAGTCAAGGAAACTGGGAGATTTCAGACCCGCCTAAGGGAATATCAATTCAAATTTGCTCCAGTTCTGTTGATTTGTGTGTTGTGTGGACTTGGTGGCAGCTTGGTGAGTTAAAATGCTAAACGGAGCAGGGTTGTCAGGAGACTTCTCCGTCTCCAACGAGCCCGGTCTCCGCTTTCCCCCAGGTTTCCGCAAGGAGGTGGCGGGCAGTGGTGGCCAGAGCCCAGAAGAGCTCCGAGCGGAGCCCGCACCTCACTGCCGAGGTCGGCGTTGCGTGGAGGCCGAACCTGCTGGCCACGCGGGCAGCCGGGGAAGGTCGTCTTGCAGGCTGCAGCCTCTGGCACTTCACAGACTACCAGTGCAAGTAGTGTGGCTAGGTTGGCCCATCGGGTGTCAGGCAGACCACCGGCCATGCAAGATAGGCCCCCAGGCCCTAGCTCTTCCCAGCCGCTGCCACAGCAGGTGACTGGACGCGCCATGCGAAAGGCTCGGCGGTTCCCGCCAAGATTTCTTAGGGACTGGAAAGGTAGTGGGGCGCAGCTTAGCCTGGGCTTTAAGCTCAGTCTGGAGGACGAGTCAAGTGGGGAGGCAGGGAGAATGCAGTTGCTGGACAGATCTGCCAGGGGAAAGGTAGGACCCGGGGTTACACCTTCTGAGGCTGAGCTACCTTCTTCCAAGCCAGGAGAGGCTTCTCGCTCCGAGGCGAGTTCAGGCTCTTTTCTCCCAGGCACGTGCAGCCAAGCCCGGACCCACAATTTCCAGGGCAAAAGCAGGCCGCATCCTCGGAGCCCAGCGCGCGCCAGCTGGACAAGAGGCGGGAGCCCCCACCCACACCCCCCTCCCCCGGGGAGTTGGCTGCCCCTCTCCAAAGGCAGCTCCCAACGCGGGTCGCAGGGGCCACGCTGACCTCTGATCCAAAGCCGGCTGGGAAGGGCCCGCGGGGAAGGAGAGGCCCAGGAGGCGCGCAAAAGTACTCACCGGAAGAAGTCGTTTTTGCAGTAGAGCTTGCCTTCCCGGGAGAAGCACTTCTCGGTCAGGTTGCATTTACATTCACAGCACTGGACGCACTTGACGTGCCAGGCCCTGTCCAGCACGTTCAAGAGGAAGCGGTCCAGGATGGGCCTTTTGCAGCCGGCACAGTGCACCATGGTCTTTGGTTTGGTCGGGTGAGGCCCGGAGAAGAGAATCGCAAGATAGAGCCGAGGGGATGACTCACGAAGACGACCGGCAGGAACTCCCCAGCCCCTCCACAAAAGGGGAGACACAAGTGGCAGGGCAAACCGAAACCCGCACCGGAAAATCAAAGACAGGGAGGCAGGCTGATGGGGGCGTGGGGTGGGGGGCGCCGCCTCGGAGTAGTGTGCAGCCGGGCAGTCCCGGGGCCTCCGGGGCACAGTAGCGCCGCCGCAGCTCGCGGGGCGAGGAAAAGGGTCTCAGGCGGGCGAGCTAAGCGACTCTTCAAGCCCACAGCCCGCGAAGGAGTGAAGGTCACCGAGAACGGCGACGGGAACGGAAATAAACACAGCGGAGTCGGAGAAGGACGACGCGGCTGGCCGGGGTTGCGGGGAGAGCGCCGCTGAGTTCTCTCGGGCTTGAGGTAGAGCTGTCAGAAGGCAAAGTGCATCTGCTCTTGTCGGGGTAGGAGGGCGGGGTGTGTGTGTGTGTGCCGGGTTGCCCGCCACCGGAATTTCCCCTCCTCTTTCGATAAAGAAAAGAACCAAGCGAATAGAGACTCTTCGGATCCTAAACTGCCGGCGTCGCTCAGCGGGTTAGGACGCGCTGGGCGCCCGCGGTGGGCCTGGGGGAGGAGGGAGAAGGGGCTGGCCGAGGCGGGGAGGGAGGGAGGAGGGGAGGACGGGAGGAAGGTCTCGTTGTCGATTGTTGTTGTTGCTTAGGTTTCCCCCCTTTTGGAGAAGAGTTCTCTTGTCCACCGAGAGCGGAGAGGGACAACTCCGCGCACACGCAACCAGGTGAGCGCGCGCGCTCCCCACCGCCCCAGCCCCGTCACCTCGGCCGGTGGCCTGCCGGGCGGCCTCCGTCTCCGCGGGACGGCCCTCCCCGCGCCTGGACTCCTTCGGAGAGGGGGTGCCGTCCGGCTCCTCACCGCGCCTGGCCGTGCATCGTGGCTCCAGTCGCAACTCGCGGCCGCCTGGGCGCGCAGCCCCACATCGCTCGGCCCACGCTCCGGCTGCCTCCGTACAAACCCCACAGTCTCTGGACTTTTTCCTTTTCCTTTCCCCCTCTGTTTTTCGTTGGGGTAGCAAATCTGTGTTTCCTTTCTAGCCTCTTTCCTTCCTCTTTTTTTTTTCCTTTTGCAGCGGGAGGAGTCGGGGGGAGGGGGAGTAGCTTGAAGAGCTTTAAAAAAAACCCCAAACCAAAAACATCCTGGTGCAGCGGCTACAGTTGTGCGCGTCTGGAACAGCTCGGGCTGGGCCGCCGCTGTCGCCGGCTGTCCCGAACAGGCGTCCCTCTGTCCCTGGTCTTCTGGCCCAGTCCGCCGCCCCGGCGCGTCTCTCCCCGGCTCCGGCGGCTCGGTCACTGCTCCCGGCTGTTGGCTGGGCTCTGGAAGCCCCCTTGCCTTAATGCAGCGCCCGCCGACGTCACGGCGGCCTGTGACCAATCAGCGGCTCGCGGTCCCTCTGTAAACCATCCTGCATCTCCCGGCTGGGGAGAGTGCCGGGAGACCGCGTTTCGAGGATCAGTGGCGGCGGCCACTGCGGCTCCGCGCGGTGCGGGCGGCGGGCAGCGAAGTGCCCGGGTCCCCTCCTGCTCCGGTACGGAGTCGCTTGCGGTAGGAGAGACTGAGAGCGCGCGTGAGTGGGCGCAGGCGGAGGGCAGATTTCTGCCCTGAGGGTGGGTGGTACCCAAGATCGAGCCTTGTTGGAGGTTGGGGTGCAGCTGGCTTTGGGAGCCTCGGCGGCCCAGGTGCACTGTTTGGCTTTGCAATTCAGCGGGTGCTGGGTCCCTCCCGCCCGCCACCCTTGCTTTCTTGGCCTAGAAAGCCTCGGGTGAGGAGTTGCAACCCCGGCGAGAAGTTGTGAGAAAACTGTGATCCAGAGACACCTTTTACAGACGAAAACAAACGACTAGGCGGGAAACGGTGGGGGCAATAGCGGCGGCCGGGGGTGGGGGTGGTAGTGACAGAGGGAACGGCGACGTCCTGGGGGCTCCACCCGGAGACTGAGAAGGATGGGGGTATGCGGAGAACCGGCCCGGCCTCCCGTCTCCCCTTTTCCAGGCTCAAGGCTGGCACCAGCTTCCGCAGACAAGCGCAGAGCACAGCCTCCGGTAGTTCGCGTCTTACGGAGCCCATGCCTTCCTTCCTCCCTTTCCTCGGAGTATAAACTAGGGACCACTGCCCGCGGGGGGCAGGATCTCCCAGAAGTGCGGACCGAATCTGGGTCCTGAGAGTCTTAGCCTCGAAGAATCACTCTAGTTCCGCGGCCCACACCAAATATCAAATTCGTTTCGACAGCACCATTCCTATGCTTAACCCGGATCTCTTCCGAAGTGAAATCTGAAGGTGGCAGGGCTGGGCAAGCCCCGCCGCATTTGCTCCTCGGTTTTTTTTTTTTTTTTTTCCCCCGGAAGGGGCGTTAGGAAGGCCCTACACATTCGGCTCAAGTGTAGAAGGCAATAAAGGTGGGCGGCTGGCCAGCCCGGTCTGGCCGGTATTTGGGGAATGGCCTTTTGACCCCACACGCGGGGCTGGGTTCAGACATCTCTCTCCCAGCTAAGCTGGAGGAAATGCTCCCCGAAACGCAATTGTTACGAACCTGGGCAGGCAAGGAACTCAGTTCCTTGCAAATGGAATACCCTCTTCGAACGAACCGGGAAGCCGATACAGCGAATTTGGTTTGCGCTCAGTACACTGGGGTTTTAGGACTCCGCCAACACTGCTTTCCATCTTTAAGCCTCCGCCCGCACGGCCCCGCACCCCCTAGGCCCGCTGGCAGCCCCCTCGTCTTGCCGCCCGAGACCCCTTTCGGTTGGAAACCGAGCTAAGGCCGGCTGTGCGCCTCTCTGGCGCTCCGCCCATTTGGACCTCGGGATCCAAGGCCCCTTTCGCCGTCTCCGCACCCCCTCCACACACACACCTGGGCTCTGGCTCCCCACTGCCGGGAGGGCGGCGTTGGGGCTGTTTTTTTTCTCTCTTTCTCTCAACAGCCCCCTCCTCGGATCTCTCCCAGGCCGGGGCTCAGGGCGGAGCTGGGGAGGGGCCGCGCGGTTCCCCAACCCAGCAGGCCAGTTTCGCGGGATGCGACTTGGCTTTGTGCTCCTGCCGCGGACCGGGCATTTCCAGGGACCAGCCGAGTGGCACCCGGTACTCAGGGACCCCGGGAGGCGCTAAGAGCTGCGTGGCTGGGGTCCTCGCCGCCTCCACCCGGACCCAGAGGCGCCTTCTCAGCCTGCTGCTCTGGGTGAGGCCCGCGGTGGGGGGCGGGGGGTGTCCTCTGAGTCGTCTCCCAGCTCTCCCCACCTCCCCTACACCCCCAGCTGTCTTGGTTCTCGCCACCAGCGCTCTCAAGTCAACCGCCCCTTTCTGGAATCTATAGCGGATCCTGTCCCGAGCGGCTCGCCCCCGCCCCCGCCCCAGCTGGGCTCCTTCTCATGCAAAGCAGAGGGACCGCGGGGTTGAGTTGGGGGCGTTTGGTGGGGACCTTCAGAGCGACAGCTGGACCCGGCTGCCGGCCCTTCCTGAGCCCAAGGTCCGCCGCGGCCGCCTTTAGAACGGGCTGGAGGACGTTGCTGCCCCCGTTTGGGGGTGGAGAGACCTCGACTGGAGGGACAGAGAGTCCCTCCCTGCGCTCGGATCGCGGGTGAGGGGAGCTGAGGGCGAGGACGGGACTCTGGCTGGGACAGGTTCTCCGCCCCCAGTGTCCAGATGACTCCGTAAACAAGTCCTGGGGAACTAACCCGGGAGTCTAGCAGAGGAGCAACTCAAGGCGGGCCTCCTGGCTCCTGATTCTAGAAATGTAAGTCCAGTTTTAGAGCTTCCAAGGCAACAGTACAGTAGATTAATGTGTTTTCCCCCCATTTCCATTGAGCTTTTATTTTAAAATGTAATTGATCCCAGAGACACGGCGAGAAAACTGACCCAGCTTTCCAAATTGGCAGCCTCCGAAGCCTGTCAGCTCAGCTCTGCTCTTAAACCCCTGTCTGCTTGGCAAAGAGCCCCAGCCTCTTCTCCTCACCCTCACCTGCTGCCCTTGCTGCCTGTCCTCAAGTCCGCAAGCGCTTTCCGCCCAAAGCTCTCCACATCTCCCGAACCCACCACCACACACACCACTCGCTATGCTGCCGGGGGTGTAAATTCTGCCCCGGGTGCTACAGGGGGCAATTTGCTGCCCAGGCATCGCTCAGCGGCCACAGCATCCTCTGAACCTCATCGCAGGCACTCTTGGAAAAGGCCCCACAGGGCCCAGGAGGCAGGATTCACAACACAGCTTTCTCCTGTGAGAATCTCCTTGAAGACCAGCCCCAGAGGAGGGACCTGGTCCTAGGAATGTGGGATGGGAGGGTCCTGCCGGTTCTTCCCAGCCACCCTGCAGCTGGGGCGCTGAAAGTGCCCTCTCTTGCACCCCTTTTCTTCCTTGATTCCAAGCCCCACATCGCCTCCTTCCCAATGCAGGGCTTAGGAGGCCCAAGGATCCGAGTCAGCCAGCTTGGTTTGTTACTTTTGGTCCTAATCACGGGCCACCGTCCTGGCCGCTTCCCTCCTCACTCAGCCCCCAGAAACCCGCGGTGAGCCCGAGAAAGGGGGTGCCTGCAGCAGAACAGACTGGGTCCCTGTGCCGGCCACCACCTTCCAGGGAGAGGGAGGAGGGAGTGAGCCCGGCGTGGCTGAGACCCTCATAGCCCTGGAGGCCAAGCAAACTCCGTACTGACTCTAGAGGACACCACTGGTGCAGTCATGGAAGCTGCCCTGAGTCCGGGGATCTGATCCAACCTCTCCTGCTGTCTCCTTTCTTTGCTCCTGCTTTGGGTTGCCTTAGTCTCACTCCAACACTCTCTCCTGGAAATGACCTATTTGCATGCGGCACTTTAGTTTTTTTTTTTTTCTTTTCACAATCTGCCCAGAACCACGTAGTAAGTGTGGAGGGGGTAGGGTGGGGTTGGGGGGATCGGTATTACCTCCTTTCTTCCTGGGAAAGAAACCCTGAAATTCCAGAGTCGGTGCCCTACTGAAGATGAGAAGTTTGGGGAGCTTGTCACCCTGCTGCGCCTTTGTGTACTTCATCCGGGCCACATTTCCAAGACCCAGGTGAGGGGAGGTGGGGGACCTCAAGGCCGGGAAAGGGCAGCATCTGACCGGGCCTTCACGGTGTGTGCTCGGGCTGGGTAAGCAACACCGGGCTTCCCACGAGGGCTGGAGGCACCCTGGGCACGCAAGCGGGGAGCCAGGTCGAGCGTGGTGATCTCAGCACTGCCCCGCTGAGCAAAGACAGGACGTGGACAGCCTGGGATGGACAGGGTGAGCTGGAGAAGGCAGGACAGGGAGAGAGAGAGAGACAGAAAGAGACAGAAGTGAGGGCAGGGGAGCAGTGAATAGGGGAATAGAAGCCCAGAGGGGAAAAAGAGAAGGACCGTGGAAAAGTAAGCGGGGATGAAAGAAGGAAAGACATACTGGGGGAAATGCGTGGAGGAAGAGAAACAGTAAGGCACCCTGTGACCAAAAAGGGTGGCGGGGTGAGTGAGGCTCAGAGCCCAGGAGCCTGCAGGTGCCTAGGGGGGACTGAAGGGTGTCCCGGCTGTGACAGCCGATCACAGGCAGGAGAAGAGGGGGCGGCCTGCTGGGTGGGAGACTCAGAGCCGGTGGAAGAGCGTGTGAGCGGCTCTGGGCAGGAATCCAACAAATAAATAAAACGTCTAAGACGGCGTGACAACAATGTGTATTTGGGTGCGTGCCCGTGTTCCTCCGTCTGAACACACTCGCACCCGGTAAGGAAGACAAACGGGGCTCGTGCCTCCGAGTAATTAATCCTCTCACTAATTGACTCTCTCCCCTTACCTAATGGCGGTGGTCGCTGCTGATATCTGGAGAGATACCAGGTGGAGAGAGAGACCCCAAAGCTTTGCGAGTGGGATTGAGTTCTTTCTAGACCTGCCCCCCGTGAGGCAGAGTTCAATAGATGTTGCCACCTCACCAGCTCCTTCCGTGTTTGCATTAATAAAGCTCTTCACAAATTAGGGGTGACCAGGGGCCCTCCACACACATACACACACACACACACACACACACACACGCCCCTTCATCAGTCTCAGAGGCTGAAAGCCACCCACAGCCCTTCTGCTGGACACTGCCTGCATCCAGGCAACACCAAAGCTCTCCCGCCCTCCCGGTTGTTCACCCAGGAACCCAGACCTTGCACCCACTTTTCTTCCAGTCACTACTTACTCTTCCCTCACCTGGGATGTTTCCTGCATCCTTGGTTGGAGCAGGTGAGGTTCTGAATGGGTCAGGAAGCAGCCCGAGTCATGAGGTCAGGGCAGGGATGGGAAGAAGCTTCTGGAGACACAGAGGAAGGACACAGAGGGGAGCGATGCCCACCTGGTAGGAGCTAGGCCTCCGGGGATGGAGGAGACAAAAGGTGGCCTCCGTGCACCATGGGAGTGTCAAGTGTGTGTTGGAGGGGGGAGGTGACCACGTTTGTGATTGTGAGGGTNGAGTCATGAGGTCAGGGCAGGGATGGGAAGAAGCTTCTGGAGACACAGAGGAAGGACACAGAGGGGAGCGATGCCCACCTGGTAGGAGCTAGGCCTCCGGGGATGGAGGAGACAAAAGGTGGCCTCTGTGCACCATGGGAGTGTCAAGTGTGTGTTGGAGGGGGGAGGTGACCACGTTTGTGATTGTGAGGGTGACAGTTCCGCCTCTCTGTGTGAGCCCAGGGAGGGCCCCATCCTCTTGCCCTCACACTGCACCCTAGCTCCCAGGACTGAGGAATGAGGCAGGGCATATCGGGAGGCACTGGAGTCAGACCTCGGGCAGCTGAGTTGGCTGGAAGGGGCCCAAGGCCCACACAGTCTGTCTGATGAGGCAGGTTTGAGGCTGGGGCTTGAGAGGTAGATGTCAACTCTCGCCCCTTCGAGGTGGCAGCTTTGCTCTCTTGACTCCTCGGAGGCTAAATAAATAACTGCTGAGATCCACAAACCACTGGAGTCTCGGGAGAGGAAAGGGAGGAGGGCAGTCCCTCAAGGGGAGAAAAGAAAATCCCACCCCCCACCACCACTAAATACATTTTTAATTGTCCCTGGGGAACGTTTGTACTTTTGACCAAAGCAGGTCCCCAAGCAGTCCCAGCAAGATTCGTCATAGGGGCTGGCAGTCCGGGGAGAGTTGGGGGTCTGGAGAAGGGGGAGGTGGGGAGAGATGGCGGGCGCATCGGGGAAGGTGAGCAACTCGGTTCTTGTCTCCCTGCTTCAGAAAGAAAGTGAACAAGAGGAATAAAGTTCCAGAGGAAAGAAAGAGAAGGGCAAATGAAAGGCAAAGTCACAGCAGAAAGGAAAGAAAGTGAAGAAGAAAGAAAAAGACAGGGAGGAGGGGGAGAGACGACCATAAAACAGGGTGAAGGCGGCCCCAGGAGGCTGGGCCTCGTCCCAAACCATCCGTCTTCATTGTCTCCGTGTGTGCAAAGGCAACTCCGGCATAAGGAAAAGCCACTATTGGAGCCGCGGCTTTATTTTATATCCTATACATCAGGAGGAAGGCAAAGCTTTATTTTCGCCAAGAGACAGATATTTTATTTCTCTCTTACGGTTTTATGTGTGAGAGATGTCAGGTTGCCACAATGGATGGCTAATGCATAGGCAAGAGGAAGCCGTGTTGGCATGCTGTGTGTCATGGGGTCTTCGGGGGGTGAGCGGGCCTGGGATTTAGGGCTGATGGGCCACTCTGGGGGATTTCTGCTAAAACATCTCTCTTCATAAATCCAGAAGCATGGTCAGCTCAACAGGGAGAAGAAGGAGTTTTAGAAGGAAAAGAGTTGGGCTTAGTAATAAACGAACACACAAAGGAACCGCTTACCTTCCGAGGGGGCTCGGGCCACGAGGGCAAGGAAACGCCGAGACCCCCGTTGGAATACACTGCTGCCACTCACGGAGAAGTGTCTTCCTCCAGAATCCAGTGTCAGCTTGCTTCCTTGTCCCACCTGATATTTTTCCACTCTTATGTCTCTCTTCACCAGAAAGCTTTTTTCACCTCCTCAGAGCCAGGAGTGGTGGGGGGTGTGTGTGTGTGGGCCTGGGGAGGGGGTGAAGAGCTATTAATTTGCAAATCATCTGATCTGTGAAAGGATCAAGATGCCTGTTTTTCACCACTAAATCCAGCGTCTTGAGTGGACACACGTGTGCACACATGAGCCCCTCGTGCCGTGAATCCTGGGAGTGGAGGTGCCAGATTTAAATCCAAGAAAAGCACGCCCCGGCTCCCACACCCTCCCTGGGGACCTGTGGCCGAATTAAGCCTTAGATCCCAAACTGCATAATGTTCATATTTTGAAGCCTAGAGAGAAGGGAGAGGCAAGGGGACAAAGACAGCGAGGAAGTGTGTTCACTAGTCTCCTCCACTCCCCGTCCCCCCAAACCATTCTTGTGACATCGGCTTTTACTGGTGCCCATGCTCTACTCTTGAAATTTTTTGCTTTCCTGGTTTACATCCACAGTGGACCCAAAAGGTGATCACGCCCTTTCCCTCTTTTCAGAGGATGGGAGACGGCCCAGGGTCTCTAGGCAGTGAACACGAGGACCTGGCCATGCTGTCCTTAGCTGTGGCCTTTGGGGAAGACATTCAACCTCTTGGGACCTCAGTTTCCCCATCGGTAACCCGCGGGAATTGGGCTACATGATTGCTCAGATTCCCTCCAGCTCCGGCCTCCTCTGACCAAATGAGATAATGTGTGGAAACACTTTGTAAACGCTAAAGCCGGACGAATGCCAGGGATTATTATTACGATTCTAATCAATCCTCTTTTCTCCACATGGATCTTGGCTGTTTAGCGCCGGCGAGCGGGCTAAAGAGGGCCGAAATCAAGAAAGCTTAGCGGAGATGGAAAAGCTCTGTGCCGTGGACAGAAAAAAAGCTCTGCCCCTCCAGAAGCATTCTGTGTCCCCCTCCCCCAGTGCCGCCTCCACGCCTGGTGGGAAGGGTTGGGGAGGAGGAGAAGGGGGCAGAGGCCTCACTTGGTAGGACCCGGTTCAGTTTACACGCAGGCAAGAGAGTATTTCTTCCAGAGCATCGTTTGTCTCCAAGTGACTGACACAGCAACCTGATATGAAGGCGATTTGCAATTGTTGTTTTTCCAGGAAGAAAGGAAAGAGCAAGGTGTAGCTGATTAGCAAGTTAATTATTTCAGTACCCCAAGGGTTCCAGCGTGGTGGTAAGTTGTCCAGCCCTGGTATAATTTCACAGTCCATGCATTTCCTGGGGTGCACCTGGGGGTGCCCAAGTCTGTCTTTCTCTCTCCATCCCCCTGCCTTATGTCTTTCTGACACACCTGGGGAGCTGAAGAGGGGTTGGGGTGGTAAACGGTGTGGCATGTATCTTTGGCCTAGGCTGCAGGTGGGGGGCCAGAGAGAATGGGGTGGAGGAAGCATCGACCTCTGCTGAGTATTTAATTATCTGGCCCTTCCTTCTTCTTAAAAACACTCTTTTGTTGAATAAATATTAATGAGGCAGATTATCAAGAAGTGGAGTTTTTTTGAGGTTCTTTCCCCAGACTTAACATGGAAAGAACCTGGCTTGGAGGGGCACTTTGGCCTCTTACCTCCTCCAGCCCTGGCCTGCTCTCCGATGCTCATCTTCACCTACCTGACTCTGGCCACCACTTGCTCTGCACGGGTTTCCCTCAGTCCCCTTCGGGATCTGCCTTCCCCTTGGGGGAGCAGAGGGAGGACTATGTGGTCAAACGGACACCTCCCTCGGAGAGGTAAGTTGGGGATGAGAACGTTAGCTTCTGTTGATCTCTGGGCTGGTAGGGCCAGCCCCCTGCCGCTCCTCCAGAGATGGGGAGGGCTCTACAGTTTACTTAGGAGTGGTCCCATCTGCTCAGACTGGCCTTTCATAAGGGGAGGGATTTATGCAGTGTCCTTGTGCACAGACCTGGGATTTGCCTGAAAACCCTGGGCCTCTGAGAATATTACTGAACGCTAAAATGCTCAGCCACAGAGATGATTCATGATTTGTCTGTGTGGCCGTGTGTGTGTGTGTGTGAGTGTGTGCTGAAGAGGGGCACACACACCGATGGGCGCTTTTTCCCATTCTAAGTTCTAATCTAAACATTAGGAAACTTGTTTTTTTTTTTTTTTTCCCCCCCTATATTCACCCAGGAGCCAGCTCACAGCACCAGGCTCTGGAGGCTTCAGCGTGTGAAGACGATACAGTCCTTTTTGGTGCTGGCGTTCAAGCAGGTTGGCTGATATCGCTGCTGGTGGAGAGGGGCCGGGGGACTGTCTGGAAAGATAGTTCTGATGACCGCTTTGCTGTGGGTGGCAGAGGAGTTGGGGAGTTGGGGTGGGGTGGGGGGTCTGATCGCTGTTCAAATTAGGCTGCCTGTCTTCACTTCACAGACCTCTCAGGCTCAGTTGGAGGGAAGTTACAGAAACACGGGCGGGCAGGCGTAGGGAGTTCCTTGTCTCAGTCCTGGTGGTGTCAAGCCAAAATGAAGCCCAGGGATGCTAAGAGGAGATTCCAGAGAACAGGGCTCGCAGGCCCCACGTGGGATTGTTTTTTAAAAAAAATTTTATTGGAGGATAGTTGCTTTACAGTGTTGTGTTAGCTTCTCCGGTACAGCAACGTGAATCAGCTGTATGTACACACGCACCCCCATTTTTGCATTCCCTTCCCATTTAGGTAACCCTAGAGCGCTGAGTAGGGCTCCCAGGGCCATAGAGAAGGTTCTCGATAGTCATCTGTCTTATACATGGGCGTGTATCCACGTGGGACCTTGACCTCTCTTCACTGCCCAGTGGCTGGCTGGCTGGTCAAGGAGCATTTTCAGCTTGGAGGCCCCTCAGTGGTGGTTCCACCATTTTCTTGCTCACATTCTAGTTTGGATCCCATCTCCCCAGCTCCTGAGTTTTTCTGTTCTCTCAGGCCACTCATCATTTAGCTGATGTTTCAGGCAAACGGCCAGCCCACGTTTTGAAAGGGGGGCTGGCAGGCCTGTAGCTATGTGCAAGGTTGTTCTCCTTTGGGCTCAAGAGAGGACGTGGTTTCCCCTTCAAAAGAGAGAAGCAGGGAACCATTCCTATGAATCTTTTAATGAAGGATTTACTATCAATTTGATAAGTTCAATGCTCTTTTTACTCATTCTGAATGAATAACTTTTCAGTCAACCCGAGGAACTCTAAAGATGCTTCCTTCAGTCTCCGTGTTGTAACACATGCTGGGGCCCGAGCCTGCCTCTGACAGGCTGGGAGGAGTAGAAACATTCCAGAGACCAGGTCTTAGAGTGTTATCTCTTCCCCACCCTAAATCCTCACCCACCATTTTATCTCTCTCCACCACAAACGCAGCGACCTCCTAGGGAAGTGTGAAGGAATGGGTTTTAATCATGTTTGGGGAATGAAGGGGATGAAGTTGAGCCCAAAGAAAGATGGAGACCGTTGGAATTCTTAGGTGATGCTTCTCTGTTACGCTTCTCACGTGCTGTATATTATATCCTACAAATTATGCATTTGCGCCCGTAATCCACAGTGTGTACGAGGCTTGGCCCAACGCTGCTTGGCTGAAACAGTGTTAAATAAAATTTTAAGGAATGCTACCAGGGCCTTGCATGGCTTATTGAATTCTATCAATGATACATGATGTTAACATGCAGCATCTTAGTTGGTACAATACCACGTTTCATTTATATGTGCGGAAATATATTTAAGCATGAAAGATACAGTTTTCCCACCTGTGTATTTCCCAGTGATTCCTTAGAAAACAGCAGACACCTTTTCTGTCTCCACATAAACCTGTGTCCTGCACACACAGACTGCTGGTCACACACACACACACACACACACACACACACAGCCAATCAGCCACGTATATATTGTTACATGCAAGTCTCCAGTGATAAATACAAGTGTATATTCTGTACATGTAGATGCAGCATTATACTCTTGTACACCATTACGGACACACACACCAGCATTGTAGGAACTCTGGTCCGTTTACACATATGTCCTCATGCACTTACACTGCTGTGTAGACAGGGGCTACTGTGAACGTGTGTACCATGCTGCATGTGGGTGTGTACACATCCACACATAAATGTTTTCACTGAGAGTGCCCGTATGCCTGGAAGGGTGTGTGCCCCCATGCAGAAGAGTCCTCTGCACACAGGTGTGTATCTATGCACATGGATGCGTTTGCACACACACACCCCTGCTCTTGGGTGGACACTGGCACTCCCTGCGGCCACGGTGCTACAAGTGCCCTGTTCCTCTCCAAGGCTCCAGACACGGTGGACAGTGTCTGAACCAGACGTTTGCCCTGGATAAGCCCCAAAGCCTTCAGGATGAGAGGCCACGAGAAGCAGGGTCAAGATGGTAGTCGGCCCAGCTTGTGATGAAAAGAATATGAAAATGTGGGTGTGGGAGGAAGGGGGTTGGGTAGCTGGTCTCTGCAGACAGAGATGCCTCCAATAGAGGATCAGTCTTTTGTTTGCTCATTTAACAAACAAGACAGGACGTCTGATTGGCGTCTGTGGCCCTGGCCCTGTGTGAGCCTAGGTAACCTGGTCTCTGGGCCTCAGTTTCTACATCTGTTAAGTGGAGTATTGGCTCAGACCAGTGGTTCTCAACCCTGGCTGCAAAGTAGAACCATCTAGGAAGCTTTAAAAAAAAAAACATACACACACTTGGGCTCCACCTGGACCAATTAGATCAAAATCTCTGGAGGTGGGTGTCTGGCATCTCATTTAAAAAAAAAAAAAAATGCCCCAGGTGATTCTATATTCAACCAGTGTTGAGATCCACTGGACTTGATGCTCTCCAAGGTCCTCGTAGCCCTGAAACCCAATGCCACGGAGGACCTTTTCTTTATAAAGCACCCTGCTGGGCACCAGGGTACTCAGCTGAAAGTTCTAATTCACTTGTATAAGATCATAAAAAGCCAGTAAAATTCTTCTTTCAGTTTAGGAGGAGGATTTATCGAACAAACTGTTTATGCTGGAAAACCTCAGGCCTGCCTTTCCAGCTCCCCCTTTGTTCTCTTCCACCTTTGTTCTAGCCTTCCGTATATTAATTATCTGCCACAGATGCAAATACTATAAAGCGGGTCCCTGATAAATGTGATCAATACCTTGCTAACTGCACATGTTTCCCATCTAGCTCCTCATCCCACCTGTTGGGCAGCATGGTATTTTTAGTAGGGTAAATGGTGAGGCACAGGTCTCCAGGGGAAAGTACTCCCCCCCAACCGCCCCCCCCCCAGCTCCAGCCCTGAGTCAGAGGACAGCAGCCCCCTAGGCCCGTGCCCCAGTTCTGCAGGATGGTGCGCCAGAGCTGGAGGAAAAAACCTTGAGCTGCATGTCCTAGAAAGCCGCTCTCAGACTCAGGCCTTTGGGAATCCTACCTTAATATTCTGCAACCGCAGTTCCCCAGGCAGATCCTGTCCCTCCCGAAGAAAACAAACCTGCTCCCGCAGCCGCACCTTCAGGGAGACGTGGAGTCCAGGGGAGGCGGCCCATCCACGTGGCCAGCGGGAGGCCGAGATGAGCCAGGAGCGGGCTGCCGCCTGTGGGCCTCTTTCTCAGTGGGAGGATGGTTAATAGAGCGTGGGGGCTGGCGCTCGGCCCTTCACCTGGGTGGGATGGAGGAAGAGGGGCTCGTTCTGGACGCGGGGCTCCCACTGCTCCAGCAGCGCCATCATTCACTGAAGTCCAAGTTAGGGATCTCCAGGAGAGACTCGGGATGGACTCAGGTTCTCGCTCTCATCCACAAACTCCCTCTCTCTCTAGGTCTGCTGGCAGGCCCAGGAGGCAGGCCAGGCTGGGTTGATGTCTCTCTACCGGTGTTTAGACTAGTCTGCTTCCTTAGGAATTCTGTTCCAAGCTGCCTACTGTTGCTCCACTGTTCAGGCGAGCCCTGGAGGCAGTGATGGGCCCTGAGACTCCTGTGGTTTGGACTCTTACCCTCTCATCCGCTCATGCTTGCTTTTTCTCCATTTGCCTCGATTTCCCCCCCAGCTCATTCATTTTGTTTCCTTTCATTTTCTCCCTGGATGACACACCCAATCTGGCCCTGGCCCCCAAGGGGGCCTGCACCTGCTCCCCATGCATTGGAAGTACAGAGTCTTAACCACTGGACCCCCAGGGGAGACCCCACTTTTTCTCTTTTCAGAAAGGTCGCTGATCACAGTGGGCGTCTTGGGTCCTGCCCAGTCCTTCCCCCACCCCCACTGCCTTCCCTCAAAGGGAGGCCGGGCTTGGTGCTGAGGAGGGAGCCCCAGGAGCAGCTCAGGATCCTCAGATTCTAAACCTAGATCCAGAGCTCGGCTTCCCATGCCTGTGCCCCTTCCCAAGGCCCACCTCCCCTCGGGCCTGGGGAGCATCACACCCCAGGCTGTGATGGATTCCCCAGGCACCTTCAAAGGGCTCTACGTTTGTTTGCAGTGTGGACCTTGAATCCTGCTCTGGTCATAAATGTTGTTTATTTTGACTAGGACCTACTGAAAGGGGCCTGGGGGTTAGGGAGGGCAGAGAGAGGATTCCGTAGAGAAGATCATAAAACCATTAGCAGGGCAGGGCTTTCAGGGGTCACAGGGTCATAGAATTTTCTGGCTGGAAAGAACATAGGTCATCGGGAAGGTCGGAGAAGGCCATTTAGTCAGCAAAAGGCCTCCAGGGGCCACATGGGGCTAGGGTGGTGGGCTTTGGGCCTCTTTCTAGAAAGTGGACACAGGGCAGAGGGGCGTGACCCCCCAATAACCTTATACCAGGTGGGGGAGGGCAATAGTTGCTGAACATGATGGATTTGGCCTCCCAGGGGGAAGTACCAGTTGCTTGAATGTGCACTGGAGCCTCTTATTTCAGGGAATGGGCACCGCTCTGGGTAAAAGAAATGAAATCACCTCCGATTCTGCTCCCACCATCATTTTAAACAGCTAATATGCACCAGGGGATGCTCTTCCAATACCTTCAAAATCATTCTAAAAGAGATGTGATCTCAGTTTTGCAGATAAGCCATCTGAAGCTCAGAGAGGGGCGTTGGTTTGCCCAAGGTCACACAGCAAGTTAGTGGTAAGGCTAAGATGAAGCCTGAAGAATTTGGATTCTTTAAGTCTAATCTCCTTTCCACCCCCTCTCCCCTCCCCTGCCCTCCACCATCTGCTATGGTCTGGTCCCCTGCAGCCTTGGAGACTGCAGGCTCTGTTCTCTTTAAAGCTGATGTCGGGGCTGACAAAGCTCACTTCTAGTAAGAAAGAAAAGCAGTCTTGGGCTCCTTGCAGTCCCTGGTGTGGGCCCGGTTCACCTCTACATCCAGCCACAGACAGGAAACCATCTCAATTGCCCTTTACTTGGTGTAAGACTTAGAGAAAGTCACTTCACCTCTCCGAGCCACACTTCTGGATTGATCTGCAGACCCAAGGACTTCATGGAAGGTGAGGATTGGTGCAGATGGTAGCAAGCTGGTCCCCTTTGAGCCCCTTTTTGGTGTAATAGCTCTGGGGGGGGTGGTGGAAAGAGATGAGACTTGGTTTTGCCCTCAAGGCTGACTCCAATCACAAAAAAGACACCGCCAAAGCAGGCAGACAAGGCTCCCTAAGATCCCTGCTGAGCACGCAGGAGGAGGCTGAGCGCCAGGACAGAGACTGGGCCGTGAAGAGCAGCTTAAGCACCGAGTTCTCCCCTGATCCCCTGACTGTGTAATTCAGTTGCTTGGAGAATGGAAAATCCCCATTCCTCTTCCCCAGCCTGCTTCTCCACAAAGGCCTCCTAATAAGCCTGTCGGCTTTGGGGTGCTGATCTCCCCAGACACCACTCTGGAAGCAGGTTGCCTGGGGAGGTCCCAGTCCCAGCTGCCCCTCCTCCAATGTGGGGGAGATGGGGAAGGCTGGTGGAGAGGCAGGGGTCCCAGGACTTGGGGGAGGGCCTCCGGGCCTGCCCAAAGGATCAGTGAAACTCACAGGCCTCTGGGATGAGGGGACTTTGGGGATGGGGGTGGGGTGGGGCACGGGACTGCGGGGAGGTGGGCAGGAGGGCTGGGTCTCCGGCCGAGGTGCCTCGGGTGGGGCTATTTAATAACAGCCCCGTTATTTCACCCACCACACTCATGTTAGTTGAAGACAGCTCCCTCCCCAGCACCTTCGCCTCCCTACCCCCTCCACTTTCACTCATCCATCCACTGAGCCGCTGACAGCTGCCCTGCGGGTGAACTCCCATCCTCCTGCGGCCAGAGCGATACTGGGGGTGGGCTGGGGGGCTCAGGCCAGAGCATGCCCCCTTCCAGCCCCCACTGCCCCTCCTACACACATGCTCACTCCCCCAAGGTAGGGCCACCTTGGCTCTCTGAATCAGACCCAGAGAGAAGAAGGGCAGGCAGGAGAGCCAGGAGGGGATGAAAAGGGAAGAATCAGTGAAGGGGAGGGGAGTGGAGAAGAAGGGGGAGAAATACACCAGAGAAACAGGAGTGGGAGAGGAGAAGAGATGACCCAGGGGAGGAGAGGAGAGAGGCGAAGGGATCACAGAGGTGGAGGACGCAGGAGAAGTGGAGGAGGGATGCAA